CAAACACACACATGCAAAGAAAAGAAAAAGCAGAGTGTGACGAAATAGTGCTGCACAGTTATGCTTTTTTGTGTGCAGTTGTATACAGTGAACATGACAACACACACACACACACACACACACACACACACACACACACACACACACACACACAGAGAACCTCCCAATCAACTGTACATACTCTCTCAAGGACATATTAAACTCTCTCAAGAACATATTAATAAAGAGATGAGACTTTCAGCCATATCTGTACGGATTACGAAATGAAATCGCTATTATTGATTTAGAAAGAACACTTCTTTATTTACGAAGAGCTTGATGATCACCAAGTAGACCCAATGTGGCACCAGCATTGCAGACTGAATTTCTCAGACAGATGGATTGAGCACTGGTGCGGCAGCCCCTCCATCATGGGAAAGCCACTTGCCTACACGTCAACACAACATATTCTGTCCTGACCTTCTTGGTGGTGAACCCCTGAGCTTCTTGGTGGTGAACCCCTAGGCTTCTCTCACACGGAGAGGTCTCTAGGATCATCACTCTCTGCTCGGCTACCCGCAGGATAAAGTACAGGCATTCAGCTGTTCAGGGATCTTCACTAGGTAGTCCAGCAGGAGAGTAAGTACAGCTCTGGGGTATGTCATGATAGCAGATCTGTAGGAGAGCAACTCTATCTCTGTATACCAAGAATGATGACAATGTATCTAACGGACGCTGGACCCGGTTTCCAGCAGGTGCTGGTCCCCACCAACAGATGGAGGCTCCCGAGAGTACGGGCAGTGATTTTCATGCCTGTCCCGAACAAGAGAAACAAATGTGAAGTTGTGAACATCATGTTAGGAATAGGAATACTTTTTTTTTTTTTTTTTTTTTTTTTAAGAAACAGGCCCGGCTCCATATCCATTCTGGTGGGGGGGGAAAAAAAAGAAAAAAGAAATAGGAAATTAGTTCAAATAATCAAATTACTAAATAAATTAGGAATGCTAGCATTTTGCAAACATCACCTCAAATTGCTGCTTCAGATGAGCCAGTTCATTGTCGAGGTCTGTTATGGATTGGCTGAAGGCTCGCAGCGGCGATATTATCCCATTTGTCTGCACCTGTACCATTTTAACAGCAACAGTTCCGGAAAAAAAAAGAGAAAAAAGAAAGTCAGGAAACACCCTTCACCACAATGAGAAATGCTCTGATAGACTGAGTGCAAACTCACAATAGGACCTTTTTCTACCAAGCTCTGGACGTGATTGCAGTCAGATTCATCCATGCCTCTGGACGTGATTGCAGTCAGATTCATCCATGCCTCTGGACATGATTGCAGTCAGATTCATCCATGCCTCTGGACGTGATTGCAGTCAGAAACTGTCAGATACATTTAGGAAAGTGAGAGTGGGAGTATGCCCTGATACCCACTCAAGGGATCCTTCCCAGCTAGAGATACTCTCTTCCGCCAAGTAGAACATGCGGTCATCATCACTGTATCTAGACTGAAAGTTGCCCCAAATACCGATATAACCTCCCTCCCTACGCTCTCTTCAAGGGAAGACGGTAATCATGCCCCGCTCAGGTGGGCTCCAATACAGAAGAAAGCAGACCCATATACTTCAGATGAAAGCATGCCAAAAGCCACGTCTTCAATGCGAGAGGGATTGCAAATCAAGGCAATCGAAGACATGGGTACTTGCAACCCCTCTTGCATGCAGAAGGAGAACAAACACGTACCCTTCTGCATGCAAGAGGGGTTGCATGCAGAAGACTTGCACCCCCTCTTGCATGCAGAAGGAGAACGAACACGTACCCGAATCAGCACATGATGTTGTAGAGGATGTGGCAGCTTGTAGCCAGCAAACAGCACATTCGGATCCCTGTGAAGCTGCCTGTACCCAAGGTCGACACACACACACACACACACACACACACACACACACACACACACACACACACACACACACACACACACACACACACACACA